GCATATTTCTCCATTTTGCGGTAAAAAACCAGTTTGTCCCGAAAATGCTGTAGTCACTACTGAGAAAAACAATGACCAAGACAATTGAGCCTCATTTCATCGTAACATATACTCCCCCCCCCCCCTTCTTACCACCTAACATGCCTCTATGAGCACCTTAAACGTCCCTCACCCAAGCATCTGTTCTTCAACGTGTTATACGGCGCCCGCACTCGCAAAACACATCGCGGATATCTTTTACGGTGGTGTGGTGGTGAAAAAACCTAAGAGTAACGGAAGCATACTGACTGTTGGGGAAAATTTTTTCCCGAGCGGAGCGAAGAAAAAGAAGACTTTTTGGAGATATTGCTAACATCAATTCTCGACGATTTTTGCTGTTATCCCTGAGGAAAATATTTTCACTTTTCCCTGAAGGCCTTCACGGGGTAATTCCACGGGCATAAGTGTTCGGCAAACGCGAAAATCTTATTTTACTCCCGAATAAGCTTTTAGTCGTGAAAATTTCCTCAGAAACAATGCTGAATGTCGTGTTGAAAGCCTCGAAAGGTTCTAAAATCACCAGCAGAGCTACTACAATGCTATCAATCATTTCTCAAAGTTAATATTCGTAGTGATACCATTCCGAGAGCCTTCTCACAACAACAACTTGTCGGCAAGCGAACAAGGTGTACCCGCTCTACGTCACCACGTCACCCTTGATCCGGACCCGGCCGAAAAAAAGCCGAGGTTACGGCTGGCACCCGGGTGTTGACGAATAGGTGGTGACGAATTACCTTTTTCCAACCAACACAACTTTACTTATGTCATGACCGTCAAAGTTGACGACGACCACAGCTCAACACAGTATCCAGGTATACTATGGTTTATTCTTCAAATATCTTTCATTTAAGAGGAAGTTGTCAGTCATCCACGTTTCGTGGCTGAAATCTTGCTATCTTGCTCTCTTGAGTATTTCCCTAATGCTAGTCTCCAAGAAGTGTGCGTGAAGATGAGTATGCAAGGGACAGCTCTAGCAACGTGCGATCCAGCGGAAGGATACTAGAAGCTGCTATCCACTGATGGGCAACGCCGCATTGCCAATGCAGTACTCTACCGGTAAGCCCCTGAACGCACAAAAATGTATGCATCCTCAGCCCCGATGGGCGCTCGAGAGAAGGAGGAGTGTGAGTGCACATTCTAAGTTCACGACCCCGCCAACTCGAGTACATCCGGCACGCTCTTTGAAAACACTTAGCTGCTAGTAGGATGCTACTACAATCATCACTTACGAACACTCGTTCTATTGAGCTTTTGGGAGACTTGTCGTTTGGTTTTCTGTCCTACCTCGGCCTCTCACAGCATGCGGATGCACGCTCCTCGCGAGTACAATCTCTGAATCGGGACAAAGTGTTTGTTCCGGACACCCTGCTAGCACGTGTGCCCTTCGTATGAGACAATCCGTATAAAGTGGACGAGGGGGACGAGTAGAACATACCAACAGAGGGAACCCTGCTGATCAACGACATAAAAGAAACATGCCCCATGAAGTAGAGAGCACATAGAAGATTAAGTGTCCCTTGTATGAATGTATTATGCATAAGTTAGTTCAATTAACTAAACCAAAGAGCTATATCAGTCGAGAACAAGAAACTTTCACTCCACATGTACTGCGTATGTGAAAAGTTGACGTCAGAGATCTACCCAAACTGAGACTTATCCTGAGACTGGCTTATCTAGTTATAGCAGTGAGATATCGATTTTAGTACAGAAGGATGATTTAAAATCATCCTCCTGTATTAAAATCGATAAAATCATTGATTTTACGGGGCATTTTCGTGTTATAGATGTTGCCCCTACACTGTTGTGACAACTACTATTGATAGTGCCACGTTGTCGGTTTCTTGTCAGTCGTTCCCTTGCTTTAGGGGAATATTGTATCACTGTCAGACCTTTGGGAGTGTCTAAAGCAGTTCTCAGTGTGGTATGTTGTATAATGGCGCGATCAGCCACATGACATGTTGACGTCAATAATTTAGTTTCCTATTTTCGCCTACTCCCGGACTGCTACGGAGTGGCATTCTAAAGCACTATGTTAATCCAGATGGACTGGGAAAGACCGAGACAGAACAATAGTGGCTATTCGATGGACATGAACCAACTGCTCATAGGGGGTGATCCCATCAATGACACAAGATCACTTTTAACCTTATCATTGAGGGTCGAACGATTAACACCTTGAAGAATCTAAGCAGATTTCCGACTCACCTCCTAAATTTCCATACTGCGAGATGCGTGTCTCCACTTCTGTACTAAACCACTTTTGTACTAAACGATGATAGGTGAGCGATTTATACCGGATCTGGACTTTTTCGCACGCAAACGATTAAGTTTTTTAGTGGGTAAAATATCCACTGTTGTACCAAATTCTGCACGTTTTTACTCACTTTATTTTTTCCGATAAAGTAATTTTTGACACCGGGTAAAACTTTACCTCCACTTCTGCACTAAATTTTTGGGATGCTTTTGCACGGGTTAAGTTTTACGACTTGGGTTTTTTCACACGTCTTAAAACGACCTGCCTTCCGCTACTGTGAGTGAAGCCCTCACTGCGAGGAGAGCCGAGGACGTCCTGCGTCTAACGAAGAGTATACATGTCGCAATTCAACAAGTCTCAACGTATAACCTCATTCGGAATGAGGAATGAGTCATTCCTTGTAGACTACAAGGAATGACACCCTACACTTGTAGACTAAGTCTACAAGTGTAGACTCCTAAATTATGTCGTAATTATCACAGACCGTTGTGCGCTCCAGCGCAGTGTACGGAGACTCATGAACCATTATACGGTTTCCCGGTGTTTGTACTTGACTGTATTACTCTGTTATTACTGTTATTGTATTGTGCGCCGTGACACCGGTGGCGTCACGTATTTCTGCATGCGTGCTGAGGCCTTACTCGGGCACTTGCCCAGTGCTCTTAAAGGTTAGACTGAGGACAGGAGTGAGCTAAGCTTCTCATTCTTACTGGCCTAGGACTTAGGCTACAGCTTAAGTTAGTACACTGTGTTGAGGTTTACTAGCCGCTAGTGGTTATACTTCGTACGTTAAGTAACGTAGTCAAAGCTATGGTTTCGGAAATCATCAATAGATCAGGCATTGTGTTCACTAGTAACTGTGGTTTTGATACATAGCGGCAAGAGTTCTGATAAGGGTGCAGAGTCTGCACTGCAGACATAGCTAGTTGGGTCACCCAACTTGGGTGATCAATGAACGCTTATCATCGTCGTCCGATATTAAGGAATTATCTGTGGAATATTTAATTGACAACTACACTCTTAGAACTCTCATAAAAAAACTTTAAACTCAGGTATTGAATTTCCCTTCAGGTGAGAATAACATGCTAGCTGGCGCGGGAAAGATTTCCGGAAACCTATTTTCTTTCCTAGTAATGCATGCAACCGAATGGTATCTCATACTAGCTTCATCGAACACGGAAAGATGAAACCACTGGCGGTTAAAAAACCAGAGTTGAGTCTAGCGATAACAAAAACTCCGCATAAATTGCTCCCGTAACCCGAATTATTAAGTACACATTTTGAACCATACAGCTGGCGTAGGGCTTGTCCAAAAACCCGAAGACATGACCGACATATTCATACTGTCCATGAAATACACCTGACCACCCACAACGGCAGATGCGGCATAGTGCCCACATGTCGGATCTAGAACGGGTTGGAGATAGAGCTCACGGCTTTCAGGATGCTATCAATGACCCGCGAGAAGCCGAAGTGAGTTGTTCCCACCAATACGCCTCGAGCAGCTGTAACCCCACCCTGCCGACAGAGCATAGCCATCCACATATCCACGATGTCATCAGGAATAGTACTTCCTTGAGTCAGGACCTCTGCTCAGTTTTCGACCTGACGGAGAGCTATTCGATCAACTATTTGCTATTTTTGTTCCAAGGCGAGCGCTATTTCATTTGGTTCAGAAGTGGTTTGAGAGTGGTACAAGCTCAATCAACTGGGTCAAATTTTCCACAAAAGGAACGATTTTAGCACAGAAGTGGTTCGCGGAGCGAAGCGCTTCCCGAAGGGAAGTTTTTAAAATAGGGGCGAGCGCTACTTGATTTGGTACAAAAGTGGATTAGTACAAAAGTGGCGTAATCGCGAGATGCAAACGAAAATTCGTGCTGAGTGTAACGGGATTCTCCCGGTGAATCTTTACGTTGAATCTTACCCCGCAGGCAGCATATCCAAAGCCTTTCGGAGCGCCTCCCTTATCGCGCTTGAATTCTCTCCCTCTACTACTCAGCAAGTCGCTCCAGGATCTGGCGATCTTGAGCATCTGGGGAGGCACCCGATCTGATCAGGCTGATCATCCCTAATCGTATTGTATAGGAGAGCTTGTACTGAGTGCACGTAGTGGAGTACAATGTACTCCATTCATCCAATAATGGACAGTCACATACTGCTAGTGATCCGGTTTGTGTGATTCACTGTGTTAGGAGTACGGTTCAAGCTAGGCTAGCTGGAAGTGACACAAGCCGGGCAACTGATTGTATGGTTTAGTCGTGAAGAGTGAGTTTAACAGATTAGTATATGGTTTTATTCTATAGTTGATCATTGGTTCCTTTCGTTTTCCCAATGCGTGTTGTTATCGCTGCTAGCATCGTCGGGGGTGTCGTTGGGTTTTCTAATACAGTCTCCGAAGACACTATGCCGACGGGCAACTACTGCGAGGAGATGTGCACTCAGACCGCTGATTGTGATGAGTCATACTGCAAAGATAACGGTCTATGCTTCGGTCTCTACCACAGGGGGGATTCCAAGTGTTATCAGCCCGGTGGTGAAGCTACTGATTGTGACGACTCCGCATTGGAGCCGGTCCAGTGTGCTGAATATCCTGTAACTACCTGTGATGATGTTTGTAGTAGCATCGAAGGTTGCAAGGAATCGAAGTGGGGTACTTATTGCAAGACTTGGCAAGATCCTCCAGTCTGTTTTGGTATCATTGTCAAGGAGGATGGTAGCCTCTGCTTCAACCCTATTGATGAGGAGTGTGTTGGAGAGCCTTATCCGTGTGAGATTGCTCCCATTGAGACCACTGTTATCCCTGAGACTACGGTTGGATCTACTGATGCCCCTGAGACTACGGTTGGATCTACTGATGTTCCTGAGACCACCTCTGAGCCCGCGGATTATCCAACCAACGAGGATCTAGCTGGGGACTGGTGTGGTGAGACTCCTCTCGGCTCTATTAAAGTCACTCCGGAGGTCTCGGGTGCGGTTACTCTCTTTGTTGCTGGGCAGACGTTCACTGCCGAGTACTATTTGGATGGCTATGAAATCGTGTTCACCAACCCGGATGAGGCTTTAGCGGCGTTGCTTGAGGAGTTAGACTCTGGTTTGTACGCTCTCTATACTGACGAAGGTGTTTACGTTGAGCTAGTCAACGTCTTCACCACCACTATAACGAGATGTTAGTTGATTCGTTTTAGAGAATATAGGTTCTACAGTCGCAGGCAGCGGCTTATTTTTGAGTGTTATACCTGTTGGATATCTGTGATTGATGGGACACTTGTCTCTGCGGTTAGACCTTAGTGATGTGAGAAGTTGATTTTTTATTTCATTTATAAACATGGAGTTGTGTTGAACTCGGTGGTATATAGTCCTGGATATGTTCATAGTTTAGTAGAACTTAAGGTCTCTGCTGGGTACATTAGATGAATCAGGGTCGCATATCTTGTCGTGTTGATGTGCGCCAAATTGGGTTAATTGAGTGTTATCCTATAGGGCAGTTGTCACCTTGATATTCCGTCCTATTGTATCGTCGAGAATGCTTGAGGTGAATCGCATACTTCTTTGATTTCACTACTGTGTGATAATACAAGTGATGGCTTTAATAGTTATTTCGTTATCGTTTCTTTGGGTGGGGCAGCAATGCCACCTCATTGGAGCGGCTGTGCCACCCTGAGATATGTCTCAGTATGATCAATACGCAATCTTTATGTGGGGCGGCTATGCCACCACATGATATGCTTTAGTATAAAAGCTCAAGATACAATCATCAATTCGGTCCCATGGTAGGTATCTTTCTGAAAAGTTCAAGGGCTTAATCAGCGACAGTGTGACGCTAGGAATGAACATCAATTCGGGTTTGGCATATCTGCCCCTGAGTGGAATCGGCCTTGTGAGCAGCAGGGATTATCAGCATAATCCAATGTAGTCGGAGTTGCTTAAGACGACCCGACGAATTCGTTCTCGTTGCCACGTAGAGAAGTTTACCATACTGCAGCTCGTCTTGGTGTGGCATAGCTGCCCCATCTGGAGGGCTTGGTTACACTGAGGGCGATATAGACCTAGAAGAAGTGTGGCCAAGTGTTTCCAGCTCGTACCGTTTGGATCACCAAAAGGCAACATAGACGATTTCGCTGTAGTCGAGGAGACAATTGGTATTGGCTTCCTCTCATTTGATACCGTTCGTCTCTGCCGTCGCCACGACGAGTGGTCATTCAATATTCTCAAGGACTCTGAGATCATCATGAACATGCCTTTGAAGGAAAAGGATGCCTACGAGATAGATAAAGGTTACGTGTTGTCATGATGTTATGTCTATCGATGTAGTGTTTGGTTTTCAGCCATGAGCCGGCTCAGGGAATGACGACATACCTTGAATAGGTATGAGGCATGGAAGTTGGAGTGCAGTAGGAGTTGAATTATGTCACAGTTTGAATCAGATAGGGTTACTACCGCTACACCTTTTCAACGCCTATTTATGTGGAGTTGCGGGCGAAATAGGATCAAACATCCTCGTTTAGTAACTTTAGTGGAGAGGAGACTATGGAACTCAAATTTGGATACAATTTCAAAACTCAAGTGAAAACAATTTCAAATTGGGGAACTTCAACTTGGACACATATTATCCGACTCAACAAGTCTTGTTGAACAAGAAAAGCATGAATTTTGTGACTATCGCTGAAGTCATTCAGGGCAGTTTTGGTCTGCTTATCAGTAATGCCTTTGAAAGAGAGTGGAAACTCGGGTTTCATGATTTCGGTTGCCGTTATTGAGCAACACGATTAAGAACGATGCCAGTTGGTCAATTGAGGCATGAATAAAACACAAGCGTGCGATAGAAGTTCCGCCACAGTTTTTTGTGCATTTCAAGGAATCAAACCGCGCTGGACACCTTTCAAAGTCACCCGAACTGAAGCGGTGGATACACACTTATATAGAACGTCGATAGGATATGGTACAGTAGGTCTTATAACGCATTGGTTTTGAAAAGTTACGAGGGAAAGCCGTCCCTTTTCAAGTCGGCACCCTGTACTTATCGATCTTGTTTTCGCCAACTGCTAGCGATGGACTCTTTCAAAGTATTCAGTTATAACTCTACATTAACAATTCTTGTACGGGGTATTTTCGTGTCATAGATGTTGTCCCTGCACTGTTGCGACAACTACTCTGTGTATTGATAGTTCCACGTTGTCGGTTTCTTGTTAGTCATCCTCTTGCTTTAGGGGAATACTGTACCACTGTCAGGCCTCCGGAAGTGGCTGAAACAGTTCCCAGTGTGATATTTTGTATAATGCTAAAGTCGTGATCAGCCACATGACATGTTGACGTCAATAATTTAGTTTCTTTTTTTCGCCTACTCCCGGACTGCTACGGAGTGGCAGTCCGAAGCACTGTGTTTATCTAGTTGGACTGGGAAAGACCCATAAAACAAAAGTGGCTAATCGATGGACATGAACGAACTGCCCATAGGGGGGTGATCCCATCATTGACACGAGACCGTTTTCGACCTTATCATCGAGAGTAGAAACCTTAATGCCTTTAAGAATCTCAGCAGAGTTCGGATTCAGCACCTAAATTTTCTATACGGCGAGATGCAAATGAAAATTCATGCTGAGTGTAACGGGATTCTTACGGTGAATCTTTATGTTAAATTCGACCCAGGCAGCATGTCCAGAGACTCTCAGACCACCTCTCTGATCGCGCTTGAATTCTTTCCCTCGACCTTTCAGGAGTCGTTTTAGAGGGAGTTGACGATCTCGAGCATATGGGGAGTCGCCTGATCATCCCTAATCGTATTATATAGGACAGCTTGTACTCCATTCATCCAAGAATGGGCAGTCACATACTGCTAGTGGACCGGTTTGTGTGATTCACTGTGTTAGGAGTACGGTTCAAGCTAGGCTAGCTGGAAGTGATACAAGCTGGGCAACTGATTGTATGGTTTAGTCGTGAACAGTGAGTTCAACAGATTGGCATATGGTTTTATTTTACAGTTGCTCATTGGTTCCTTTCGTTTTCCCAATGCGTGTTGTTATCGCTGCTAGCATCGTCGGATGTATCGTTGGGTTTTCTAATACAGTCTCCGAAGACACTATGCCGACGGGCAACTACTGCGAGGAGATGTGCACTCAGACCGCTGGTTGTGATCAGTCGTACTGCAAGGATAATGGTTTATGCTTCGGTCTCTACCACAGGGGGGATTCCAAGTGTTATCAGCCCGGTGGTGAAGCTATCGATTGCGACGACTCCGTATTGGAGCCGGTCCAGTGTGCTGAATATCCTGTAACTACCTGTGATGATGTTTGTAGTAGCATCGAAGGATGCAAGGAATCGAAGTGGGGTACTTATTGCAAGACTTGGCAAGATCCTCCAGTCTGTTTTGGTATCATCGTCAAGGAGGATGGTAGCCTCTGCTTCAACCCTATTGATGAGGAGTGTGTTGGAGAGCCTTATCCGTGTGAGATTGCTCCCATTGAGACCACTGTTATCCCTGAGACTACCGGTGAGCCTACTGATGCCCCTGAGACTACGGTTGGATCTACTGATGTTTCTGAGACCACCTCTGAGCCCGTGGATTATCCAACCAACGAGGACCTAGCTGGGGACTGGTGTGGTGAGACTCCTCTCGGCTCTATTAAAGTCACTCCCGAGGTCTCGGGTGCGGTTACTCTCTTTGTTGCTGGGCAGACGTTCACTGCCGAATACTATTTGGATGGCTATGAAATCGTGTTCACCAACCCGGATGAGGCTTTAGCGGCGTTGCTTGAGGAGTTAGACTCTGGTTTGTACGCTCTCTATACTGACGAAGGTGTTTACGTCGAGCTAGTCAACGTCTTCACCACCACTATAACGAGATGTTAGTTGATTCGTTTCAGAGAATATAGGTTCTCCAGTCGCAGACGCGGCTTAGTTTTGAATGTCATATCTGTTGGATATCTGTGCTAGGTGGGTCATTTGTCTCTGAGGTTAAAACTTAGTGATGTGCGAAGTTGATTTTTTATTTCATCTGTAGATATGGGGTTGTGTTGAACTACTATAACAAGATGTTAGTTAACAGTAAAAGTTGAAGTTTATGATATCTGTTCTTTCTTTCCAGTTTTTTTATTTCTAGTCAACATTTGTTATTTGAAATTGGTTTGGAGAAGACGAGTCAGAGTTCATTTTCGTGAAGTTACTAGTGATAAACAGCACAGCAGATAATATAGATCGTATTTGTGATTAACAAACGAGGTCGAGTTCAAGGAATATATCGAAGGATTTCGATCTAGAAATATTCACCCTATTGAATTGACCTCCACTGAATAACTCCAACATTCATTGTAAGTTATCGAACAACACTTGAATGAGTCATAACATGTTCTAAGAATATGAGCGTACAATTTCTTCTTTGAACAGATGAAGGCAAAACTGCATCGTCGATCAGCAAACATTCTTCACTCTCTTTCGTTGGATGAATCCTCGTCAGAGTGAACTCCAAGTGAAGATTCTTCACTCGTGTCTTCAACTACCTGGGGGAGGTCAAACCCTGGTATCTGTGGTGGTAAAGAGGACAAAGTGATCTCTGACACTCGTCTCTGTCGGAACAGATGAGCCGGACATTGACCACTCTGGGGACCTTCTTCCTTGCGGCTTTCAGTGAAGGGGCCATATACCGCCATGAACACACAAAGTCCATGTATGTACGGCTCAACAAAATCTCGGGGAGCGTTGAACTCCTCGCAAGCCTTCATTTGAGTGCGCAACCAACGATTCCTCTGTTCCTTGGTGAAGCCCGCACCAACATAGCCGGCCTCTTTTGGGCCACAACCTCTGTATTTCGAATGTTGTGCTTTCTTGTGCATGGAATTGATCATTTTCGTACCACCGCGTTTAGTCATTTCATCGTCAAGCCCGACAGCCGTGAACACCCACCTACTAAACATTCTATAGTGGGGTTCTTCTTTGTCCTCGTACAGAACTCCGAGAATAGGATCCTCGAATGACATCTCGTAGAAGCGCTTTGCAACCGCTAGGAAACTCTCCTTACCTCCGGCACGTTCAATGAGATCGTCGGGGAACAGTTTCATAACCATTTCGGACGATAATGGGGTTAAAACCGACTACTTACCAAACTCCCCCTCACCCTTAATGACAACAAAACACATGAGAACCTCACAGGGTAGTGACTCGCTCTATACGAGATGCTAGCGACCGCTTATGCGGAGCAGCGGGTATGTGGTCGACTCCCACAGGGGACTCCCACGAGGAAAGGATACAAATACATAGGATGCTGAAACATTGATATCGGAACAACTTCGAACGGAACTATGCCGCGTAGGAATGCTAGCACTGCTTGTACTGCAGCTGCGCTACGACATAGACCAATGGAAAGTACAAGTCCATCAATGATGATGAAGTTCTGATAAACCTGTGATGGTACAGGGAAATATACTAGTATGCGCACAGTAGGAAGTATATTGATTACAGGAACAAATGTACGAACATTTACACCGTCACAATGAAGACTTCAATAGCGCTAGTGGTTTAAATGCTCAGGCAACAGTAATCTTCTGGAAGTCGCCGAGCTTACCAGGTAGGTCATAGCCAGGGATATTGGGATGTATTTTAAACATCTCTGCCTGCTCAGGAGTCGTCGTGACGCACATGCTCATGGGGCACTTCCCAGTTTGAGGGCCGTCCTCAGCACGAGAGTCAACGAAGGGACCATACACAGACATGAATACACAGAGACCATGAATGTAGTCGCGAACAAAATCCTTAGGGAGCTTGAACTCTTCACAAGCCTGCAGTTGGAACCTCAACCAACGAGCCCTTTGGGCCTTGGTGAATCCACCTCCAACATAACCAGCTTCCTTAGGAGCATCAGCTCTAAGAGGGCAGTTCTGGGCCTTGCGATGCATGGCGTTGATGAACTTAGTGCCGCCACGTTTGGTCATCTCGTCAGTGAGGCCGTTTTGCTCAAAGAACCAACGGCAGAACATGAGATAATGAGGCTCGTCTTTATCCGCGTACAATACCGAGAGGATGGGGTCCGCGAAAGATAGTTCGTAGAAGCGCTTGGCAACTGCCTCGAATGGGCCGCAGCCTCCAACACGATCCACCAAACCGTCGGGGAATAGCTTCATGACCATTGTGTAAGTGAGAGTTTACGAAAGGAAATTGAGGAACTACCACGAACAAATCAACTTCCACAACAGAGACTCCCAAATCGCACTCGTGCGAAATTTGTCAGCGACATAGCGAAGCGGCGGCTAGTCGATTACGTGCACTTTGCATGCAACAGGAGACAGAGACGAGCTTGGGAACACAATAGTGCTTTAGATCTCCTGTGGATCGTGGATGACCTGATCCTAGCTCGCTTGGAAGAACATAAAGAACAATTACTATCTCTCACTCGTGGTCGTAAGCTTTCGGCTTTCGATTTTATACATGATAGTTTTGATGTGTTGAGAGTGCCCAGGTAACTACTGTACCGCAAGCACATGATGATGAAACTGGAAATCAGTCGATGGTAATTATTACTATTGAGATTCTGACTTCCTCAACACATTGATGGGGAAATAAAGAGCGACTGTCATTCTCGGTATAATGCGAATACCATTGATTATCATCTTTTAACACTCCAGTAGCAACACAAGACGAATTCAGGTAAAAGATATACCATCAACTACAGAACAATATCTCCTCTAAACAAGGAGCGAGTCTGTGGATAAGGAACGGTGAGAAATGAATTTCCAAGCAAATGTTATGAAATCACAGCGATACTGAAGAATACAAATGCCACGGCACAGACCTGTGGCCTTCAATCGTCGAAGTGAGTAACTCTTCACTTGGCAAAAGCAGGCAGGGGAGTAGCACCAGTCGCCCGACACTCTTCAGGAATAGTAATCTTCTGGAAGTTGCCGAGCTCGCCGGGCATATCGTAGCCTGGTAAGTTGGGGTGGACCGTCAAGATCTTAGCTTGCTCAGGAGTTGTGGTGACGCTCACACTTGCTGGACACTTTCCAGTTTGGGGACCGTCCTCCACACGTGATTCAACAAAGGGACCATACGCACTCATGAACACGCATAAACCATGAATGTAACCACGAACGAACTCCTTGGGCAAGTTGAAATCTTCACAAGCCATCAACTGATATCTAAGCCAACGGTTCCGTTGGGCTTTAGTAAAAGCACCACCAACATAACCGGCCTCCTTAGGAGCAGTAGCTCTCTCTGGGCGGTTCTCAGCCTTGCGATGCTTCGCATTAATCAACTTGCTGCCGCCACGTTTGGTCATCTCGTCAGTGAGACCATTTTGTTCGAAAAACCAACGGCACATCATCAGATCATGAGGTTCGGTCTTATCTTCATACAGAACACCGAGAATGGGGTCAGAGAAGGAATGCTGATAGAAGTCCTTCGCAACCGCCTCAAAGGGACCAGGACCGCCGATTAGGTCCAACAAATTATCGGGGAATAGCTTCATAACCATTTTTACAAACGATGAAATAAAAGTGTAAACTGAAGTAACTGCGGTAGAATGTGATAAGATTAACTATTTAAAGTACTCACTTGCTGATGATTAATTTCAGTCAGGTCAACGTATAGCTAGAAAGACACTAAGATTTTTCGGGCAAAAGATATTCCGAACACATACCGCATCCTCTAGCTACCAAGTGGCATACCACAATTTCGACAACTTTTCAACAAGTAGGTAAGTCTCCGAAATATTGAATTGCTGACATACTGTTATTCTTACGATGGTTCAGCACCCCTATATGAGGTTATGGATCTTTCCACACTGCAAGTGTACACATCGCTCTATTATTGGTAGTGTTGTTGAGGACGAAGATTCTTTAAATTGTAAGTGACTCATTGGCTGATGCTCACGTGAATCAACATATATCTTCGTTGGTGTTGGTGCATTCATTTGAGTAATATTTCATTCATACTGCAGTGTCCCGAAGATTAAATTATCAAGTCTCGGAATATGTATCGCCCTCTACTTGGAGTGGATACTCTGTATTTTGATTACGACAGTAATACATGAGAACCGTGAAAAGCTATACTACTCGATTCACTTACCCCTGCAACGATGACTCGCAACACAACACAAGCGAGTAACCTCAGGCAACTTATATACCTTTTTCTACAGAAACCTTCAGTGAACAGGAAGACAATCCTTCCAATAGGAACAATAAAAATATATGTCGTGGAGAATCTTATGACATGATAACAACACTAAACGGTACAAATGCCACGGCAGACCCGCGGCTCACACGTTTAGTAGAAGTGTTTAAACGACTCGACTAGGCAGAAGCAATCACAGGAGTAGCACTAGTCGCCCGATACTTTTCATCAACAGTAACCTTGTCGAAGTTGCCGAGTTTGCCAGACAGATCATAACCAGGGATATGAGGGTGAGTCTTCAACATCTCAGCCTGCTCAGGAGTGGTAGTGACACTCATGCTCACCGGACACTTCCCAGTTTGAGGGCCGTCAACCGCACGGCCTTCCACAAAGGGACCATACACACTCATGAAAGTACAAAGACCATGGATGTATCCACGGACGAACTCCTTCGGCAAGTGGAAGTCCTCGCAAGCCTTGAACTGGCACAACACCCAGCGGTTTCTCTGAGCCTTAGTGAAGTTACCGCCAACATAACCGGCCTCCTTAGGAGCCTCAGCTCTGAAGGGGCAGTTCTGGGCCTTGCGATGCATAGCGTTGATCAACTTGCTGCCGCCACGTTTAGTCATCTCATCAGTGAGACCGTTTTGTTCGAAGAACCAACGGCAGAACATCAAATCATGTGGCTCGGTCTTATCCTCGTACATACAACCCAGCAAGGGGTCATCGAAGCAATGCTGATAGAAGGCCTTGGCAACAGGCTCGAAAGGACCAGGACCGCCGATTAGGTCCAGCAAATGCTCGGGGAATAGCTTCATAACCATCTTCGCAATTAGTGAAATAACAAGTAAAACAAAGTAACTAATAAAACTCAATCCACTCCACAGCTCAACACAACCTAAGCCCGACGATTTAATTACGTGCACTTTACATGCAAAATATAGTTTACCACTCCGCTTCACTTTCACACTAGTCTCAAGGCCTTAACAATCATACAAACTAAGGGACTGAGTAAGACCGCTAAGTGCATTTTCGTCGAAGCTTAATAATCCTGCAAACGCACGAAACCACTAAGTGATTCCTCATAAGAAAAACGCTATGTTTTTGCGTGCTGTCTATATGAGAAACATTGCAACTGCTTGCAGTCCTCCATCCTTGGAGACATCGTTGTGTCCATGAATAACTCAAGACGGTTTCATATCCTCGCTAGGGTCCGCTGTAGGAGCAGACTCTTGAACGCTACTTTTTGATGACATATAACTGCTGGATGAATTAGTTACTTTGATGGATGAACCACAGACTCAATACGATCATATACATATCAGAACTCGTGGAATGTATAGTTGAGGAATTGGAGCAACTAATAGGTCAAATCTTGCCAAGTTAGAACTCAGTGAATGTCGATACCTCTGTACTGGCAGTCAGCGTTGGACTATGTAATCGCATTCCTTACCTGAGTTTTCTAATTAACTAAGTTCATATAAAAGCACAGAAACCAACAGAGATTTCCCAAAACTTCCTCACACTGCTGTCAGCAATCATAATCTACCAGTGTTGGAATACATGATCGTATTCCTCAGCCGAGTCCAGAAGTATCCCCACTAATTAGAGAGGTTTACATACAAATTCGAGTAGAAGCGAACAGAAGCCAATGAGAATTCCTCAATTTTCATCCTCAGAAATTCCACAAAGGTCACCGAATACGTGTATATTTTCCCATACCATAATCTACTATTAAGACAACGACTAGCTAGCACTGCGTAGCAACATGGAATTCTATTCCGGGAAGTTTCCTCAAAGGCAACTTTTCTTCAACGAGATTCTTCCAGGAATCCAAATGCCCTGGTAGATGTATAGCGTAATAACCAATCGCGCTTGCTTTAGTGTTATCGTGATCTGTTGATGAACTGAAGTTGAACTGATGCTTTCGATGCCGTAATTATATCATCCAAAGATCAGTGATCCTCGAACGCCGCACCTCGTAAATGTTCACGTTTTCGAGTCCCTACTTACAATTTCTCGGATGGAATTTTCAATGTGAAAAAGTATGCAGGTATGGTTAACTACCTATGTTGGTGATAATATGAGAATAGTGAAGAAATTCAGAAAATTCTTGTTGGTTTCTCTTGAATCCATTCAAATTCGTGTGTGAACTTCTGAAATTTCGCGTGGAGTGGTATGAAAACAGAAGCGTGTCTGCCGTAGAATTGTAGTACGATTATGAGCATAATCTGTTGAAAATTCTCATTATTGAACTATATATATAAAAATATACTTCACGACTACTGCATATCACCGCGAATATCGCTTTTCACCGAGCTTTACGCCACTTCACGTTGAACGACTGAGACTCCAATATATACCAAACTAATCACGTAGACATTCTGCAACATTGACAAAACTAATCACGTAGACATTCTGCAACATTGGCAAGTCGGAACCTACCAGCTTCACTCTTACACTCACACAACTCCATAACGAAGCGAAAGGTCCAAGGCTTCATCCCGCAAAGGAGGCTAGGAGTTTTCAATAGTGATGGAGAGTAGTGGAGACATGATGACACAATTTGCCATTGTGTCACTAGCTCATTTATGCCAG